TGCACCGACGGCTCGGGATTCCAGGGTTCTAGCTACTGAAGCCTGTTGTCCTATTTGACACAAGGTTTGAACAATCAAAACTCCAACATGTAGTGTAATGATGGATTTCATGAAGCCAGAAATAACATTTCGTGTACTCGAAACGTTTGCATAAGCGTTGTGGAATAAAAAAGGGATGTGAGAAGGAGTGGTCATGTGTATTAGACAATTATTCAGAACCCCACCGTGCGGGGAACCTGGAAAAGAAATCAGGTTGGCTTATGGCTGAGAGACCTGGGAGCGTGACCGCAGAGCCCAAAGGACAACTGCTTGAGGCCGGTTAAACAGCCTTTTTATGAGAAGGTTTTCCAGTTTTAGTTGAAAATTCGTGAGTTTAGGTGAGGTGTAACATTTTTTGGGTCGACCTCTTCTAACTCTTCCTTTCTTGTGAGAAGGCAGAATCGCTGCAGACGCCGCTCAGCTATACGGCTTCGCTCTCAGACATTGAGTAGTTGCTTTTAAACTTATTACTCTCCAGTCGACTTGCCTGGCATGATATAACCTACAGGAACACATGCTTCAGCAGACATACATACACACACATAAATATACATTCATACATACATACAGGATCTTATTGATCTGTTACTTCAGCCAATGGAAAGTTTGTGTTTAGCCTGAAGGCACTTTGTGAGTGGGAAGTGTGTGAGGAGCAGTATAAGAAATTATCTGGAAGAGGAAAACACAAGACTCGTTAAGGACATAGAATTTACTTACTCCTAAAATAAAAACCAATCGACAATAATCAGAAATAACACAAACATGAGATTGAGACGAAGCGATAATCTGAACAAGATGTCATGGACATAAGGTTTCAAATGTGTCACCTGATGAATACATTTTCTTTCCAGTAGATTTCGACGTCGAACAGAAAATGAGCCGAAAAATTGTATTGTTTAACATATTTGTGAGGATTTTCTTGTCGGAAAGTGAAACAATTCAGCTCTAACATTCGTCATAAGCCTTTTAACATGTGTTAGGAGACTTTTAAAATAAAGAGTCTCGAAGGAACCAAAAATGTATGGATATGTCAATCACATTTCAGATACAACGGATTGGATTTAGGGGCAAACTATAAGTATACGTTGTGTTTAATACCTTGTGTCATTATTATTGATGCTAGTTTGTGATGGGGGCTCTCAACATTAATTCCTAACGCTCATATCCAGCTCAAATCGCCATTACCAATTCCTCACACAAATTTATAACCCTCTTTTTGCCCTAGTAAGCAGGTAAACATTCTCAAGGTCACTCTAGCATCACTCAAATTTCATCCATAAACTGTTGTTTTACCGGATAACTTCTAGTGCACATCTGATGTTTAAACTAAGAGCCGCCTCTGGATGGAACCACTTTGATTGTCTGTTTTAGTTGACACTTTCTCAAGGATAACGATTATGCTTGTTGGTCCTAACAGCAAATTGACGAAGTTTAGCATATTAACACGAAGGAGAACAACTGCAATACTGGAAACTGAACTAACCGAGAGCATTCAGATATACTTGAGTAATATTTTGTAAGATAATAGTTTTATGAACTCGACATAATAAAAATTTTGTTAAAAGTGTTTCATTACCATCTCTTATATAATGGTTACAACCAATAATAATGTTATGTAGGACTAGTGAAATGTCACTGGGTCTTAGCTAAATCGGTATGGACAGGCAGTAGTTCTTCCTCGTAACACAGTTAACTGTTAATACTAATATGTATTGTTACTTAATAAAAGTATGCATTCTAGTAGGTTATCTGGTTATGAAGACCGTATAGTCCAAGTTGAGCACTAACCGCGGGACGTGGTTAAAACGGATGCTGATAGCTTACACCATTTGTTCAAACCCTGGTCTGCTCTCAGCTATTGACTCAGACCATCTACATTAGTGGCCATTTGACAAAGTGAACTGGCTGCCTCTGGTGTTTAGTAGTGGCACTCCCCATCACTTTTGAGAAAGTCTACTGTTGACTACAGGTGTGGTGTGAGCTACTAATAAGTAGTATATGACGTGAGTGTCAACGTAATGTCTGGCAGCAGAAGATGGGGGAAGATCAAGAAAGCAAGAGTTAGAAAAAACAACGGAATTTGTATGAAACGCATGAACAGTGACAACGGATTGATGTTTTGCAACGGGAACAGTCCAGTTCGATATGACAGACTGATATTTTGCAAATTAACGATTCACGATATAGTTTTCCAATTTTACTGAGTAATTCTGTAATTTTCGCTAAATACAATTCGGTTGCCCCACCTGTGTTCCTTTTCACTACACAGGCACTGGAGTGAATTTCTTTACGGTTGTTAGTTTAAATTTCATCGCTTATATTTTTTATTTGGGTGAAGACTAGTTACTTGACTGGTAGCAATAATTTTCCTGTTTTTCTGCGTGATAAGGTTTCGGGGTGGTAGACAATGTCTCTGACTCCCTGTTACATAAATGTGGATAGCCAACGTAGGTGATCTGTGCCAACGGTTGCTTACCTACTCTAGTTTAACTGGAATAATGTTAGCTCTTAGTTTACGTCTCGGTCAAAACTAGTAGTTAATTCCTACCTCTCACTGCGTTGTTGCGTTAAATAGGTGGCTGGCTTAAATAAATAGTCTCAATGGGCAATAGAGTATATTAGTACCAATAAATAGCAAGAGTACAAGGTGAAACCACTGCCGCATGAGCCTTTCCGTGACATGAAGTTGAGTCATTTGAGTTATTCTTCTTTGAACTTGGAGGAGATCATCAAAACTTTCGTCATTCAGTGACATGCCTGCTCAGCAATTTCGTTACGTCTTCATGGTATTTTACTGTCTAAACATACACTTGTGTCCTCACCTTAGAAAACGAATATCATTCCACCCTCCATCAGAAAAAGCAACTTGAATTTTTGGTGAAGACCAACAAACGCGAAACAGAGCGTATCACAGATCTGTCCATTATATATACGTGGATTCTCATTTAGGTATTGTGTTTCCCTCTCTAATCTATCAAAAACATGTTCCACCTATTTACGACCGCAAACATTTGTGCAACCATCGTCATCTTAACGACTGGGTTAAAATAAAATACCATTTTGGTGATTTATGAGGAAGTCCTCAATTTTGTAGCGCATATGTTTTGCATGAAACATCCTCCGACTCTACGCAAATATAGTCCTATAAGTAAGTTATTTTAACAGATTGCTAGGAGACTACTTCTACTACTCACCTCCGACAACTGACCGGAAAATTTTAACATAAAATTAAATATACCATACACCTAAGTTTGACGCTACCTCGAGCAACTCAGTGAATACCACTGGTCCCAATTCACGATGATGAAGGACGGCTAAACATAGGGTCAGAGATTTTATCCCTTGAAGAGTAACTTGATCAAAAACACGAACTAGAAAAAATTTCAAAAAATACTTGAACTCCGTCTTGGGAATTAGAAGGACCTTATGTAGAAGTGTTACAACACATTCTGAAAACTGAGTTCATTCGGAGGTCGCGAGGCTGATACCGCTTCTCACAAACACATAAATAATTGATATGGGGGCATGAAATGTCCACACAATGTAGGATATCAGGTGAACAGTTGTGGAAATTAAAAGAAAACTTGATGGTGCTTGAAAAATGTAAAATCTTTCGGACACAGGCTGAACAAAAAGTACTAACTTCGTTGCCCAACACGCACATGGCAAAAAGTTGGCTGGATTATTAAAACCTCTATATTTCAGGGGAAACACGAAATGCAGCTGTCAGCCCACATGCAGCTAGAGGTTTTGCACTTCGCAGACCGTCCAGCACTTCTACCACACACGTACATCCAGTTTGAACTATTAGAAAAGATAACCATTTAGACAACTGCCTTTGCAGCAATAGGCCTCAACATATCCGGGACAAAAGGTATACAGCATAACATGCAAACACTAAATCATACCTGATGGAGAAGGTCTGGAAGAAGTGCAGACCTTGACATATCTGGGCTGTATCAATGATAAACTAGGTGGATTTAAACAGATGTGAAGGCATGGTTTGTTAAAGCAAGACCAGAATGTCAATAACTAAACAACATCTGGCACCCAAAATAACTTTCAACCAACAGCAATGTCAGAATTCTCAGAACAAACATCAACACGGTTGTGCTGTATAGAATGTGAACTTGGAGAACAACAAATGCTGTTGTCCATAATATACATTTGTTCGTTTACAGTTGTCTACTCATGATCCTGATGACCCTTTGAACAGAAAATATGAGCAACAGCCTACTGTGGAATGGAACAAACCAGCTCTTGGATAAGGAAGAAATAAGGATAAAGCGCTTCAGGGTATAGAACATGTGCTGCGGAGATCAGCAAACTGGTTGACGAGTTCAGTACTAAGTTGGAATCCCCAAGGCAAAAAAGAACCTAAGACAGCCTAAGTTGTAGACCGACAATTACCGACCTAAGTTCCATGAGATGTAACAGACGTAAATCACTAGGTAAGTTCGCACGCTTTACAGTACCTATATGCACTTCCAGTTATGTTTTATGCTTCTTTTTATTTATTTCATAACATTTTACTCCTTCCATCCCTCGAACTCTCGAATTCATATCCCATTATCTTGGTTCAACCAGATCAAAGAAGAGGCGTCGACTTCGCTGCTCTGAGTTTCGGGCACCGTATACCTTTTATGTACGAACCTTTAAACTGTTATAGCAAAATGTAACCCATTTCTGATTTCTTTGGCGTGATTATTTTACTACTGATCCCAGTAATTCTTCAATCCAATGAATTGGAAGTATAAATAATGAATATTGTGAAACTCTAAATTATCTTTCCTTAGGAATACAACAACAAAGTTGGTAGATAGATTTCACTGGACATTTCCAGGGATCTGGAATTACATTAATTACAAGATCTTAGGTTATGGACACTGAGCGGTTAATATTATCTCACAACATGGATATTGAAAACTGAAACGGCACATTGTTCTGATGTGGGGCTACTGATGGATACTGAATGTTTCAGTAGTCCTGTTACATCCGCAAACTTCCAAAAAGATGCGGAAGAAACTGCAGAAACATTGTCGTCAATACAAACCAAGACTGGATTTTATACCATGGCAGGAATTCTGGAATTCCTTCATTTGGAATGGTCAAGAATGCAACTAGAACGTACACAGTGGGATGTTGAGAGAGCGGAATTGCATGTAAATTTACTGTCTTTAGCTATTTATTCGCCTAGGCAAGGATAGCATTCCTTCAGGGCAAATTTAGAGGGCTTGAATGTCTTCGAAATGATTTGGTTCGTCGTATCAAAATGTTAGAATATGCTTTAATAAGAGAAAGAAGTAGTAAAGCTCAAGATGGAAACTCCAAAGAAATCGAAGAGAATATGATAAGCGTACATTTTTCTAGGTCTGATTCTGGTGCAGACCATCCTAAAACTAATTTAGACAGTGAGTGGCAAAATGAGAATGTCCAGCTCAGCAAGTAAATGTTTCTTTTTGCTCACATCCGTAGGTACTCAGTTGACTTAAATTCATCTGAAATTTCACTGACCTTTGGTAACGCATCTCTACGTGATTCTTCTGGAGTCAGTCTGCTAGTCGGTGATGGCCACAGTTCAGAAACTAGGGTGCTCCAAGAATCTCTTAAATATGGTACGTGGTTGTTTTCAGCGTATACAGTGTACATATGCATGTGATCCGAACACATTCTCGAGATATGTTGATATCAGTTTGAGTAGTCAGAATAAATTACAATGAGCTATGGACGATCTAGAATTAAGTTGTACTAGTTTGTGAAGCTACTGACAATTCCTGCTTATTGTTTCGTTATTGTAAGAAAAAGCTGATACAGCATCAGTGCTAAACATATTTAGATTACGGTCAGTAAACACCCTTTTAACAACTAAGTGGTCGTCTAAACGTAGTGGGTGAAACGTTGAAGTTTAAAGCTTCCACTGTCAGTTACGAAGTTCTTCAATATGTGAAAAAAAGTATAACCAGAAGTAATGTGATATCATTCAGTTCTGTTTAAAACCAACGTGAAATCACTTCTAACGCCGTAAAGTGCCTGAAAACTTTTCCAGCTAGTGTTGCTGTGTAAATGCTATATTCAGATGACCAAGAAAGTTCATTGGCGACTTTTCGCTCTTACTCAATAAAGATTAGTCTAATTAGATTACCTGGTGATCGTATATGGTAATACTTACCTAGTTCAGTCGATATCTTTTCAGTTTTATTTGCTCTTATAGTTAAGATTTAAATATACTGTACTTTCAGTTTCTTTTTATATATTAACTAGGTATATAATGCATATGTACTACGTACGCAAGTTATCTCTCTCGGGTTTCGTCGTGCGTATGCTCTGATCACTTTAGTTAAGTAAGCTTATGAAGTTAAAGTTGCCAGTCGAAAGTGGTGTCTTAACAAAAGTTCTTGTTTCACTAGTGTTTCTTATTATTTTCTTAACTCCCTTGAGATTTTTGTTACATTAGTATTTTGTTGCCTACATAGATGATTTTGGATCGAAGGGGTTGCATAATTCATTGGAACTTGCCATGGAACATTGTGGTTTAGAACAAAATAAACAGTCGCAGGATGATACATTTGACTTTAATGTGTCTAATAGCTCCAGTTTCGATTGTTTATCACTTACGGTATGTTTTTATGATCGTTCGTTGGTAAAATATTTTTCCTACATATTCATATGTGTACTGTAGTAACTAGGTGCGAATTCTTACATCCAGCCCTTACTCCAACCATGATACCTACTGACAACATCCAGGTACCCAAACTGAAATAGTCGTAATTCCTTTTGTGCTTGGGACCTCATGGTTAAAATATGAGTCTCCTAACCATTAAGTCACAACCCACTTGACCTTTCTAGTGGGTTTTAGAATGTAATCGTATGATTAAAAGCTAACTCTTTTTACCAGAAGGCAGAAAATACTCCTAGATCACAAACTTTAAATTTTTCCCACGTATTCCGATTAAATCATCTGTAGTATCTGTTGCCAACCACTTAAAAATCCTTAGCTTCTATTACTCAAAATTGCAAGTGGTTATTGAGTCACAAATTTTAAAAATAAATGTGAGGAACAGAATTTCCAGATGTTGTAATGATAGCTAATTAATGTCTGCGGGGAAAAAACCTAGAAGTGGAAAATGATAAATTATTACGAATAGTAGATTGATAAAGCTTCTGCTGTGCACAGTTTTTCGCTTAGTATACTCTTAGAACCAACTCTGTCGACCGTATCGCCGATTTCAAAAGAAGATTCTGATAAAACAGCCTGATCAAAACTTAAGAGATGTCCCAAACTTGAACTAGTACTCTCCGCAGCTAGACAGTATTATGTTTCGAGATGCCATTTCGTGAGAGTTCACTTTATGTGGCCTATATGGCCCGTTTTACAAGTATCCACCAGTTTGCTTGCTCTTAACAGTTCTTCTGGAGCACATCCCCGCTTCTCTGGCTATTTGAAGGATTACACAAGTTAAAAAGCAGTTCAATCTCGTAAGTTCGAAATTGACGATACGGTCGAAAGAATTGTTTCTAAATGTATATAGTGCAAAAACATGCCCAACAGCAGCTCTAGAAGTACACCAATTCAAGACCAGTCTGCCAAAAAATATTCAATTTTCCATTCTATCATGGTCTTAGCCTTTCTTTCTATCTCCGATTCTTAATAAATGATCGTGTTCTACTCTTTACTAGTTTATACAGATATTAATTAGCTATTATTTCATTTATCAAGTTTGCTCTTCACATTCACTAAGTAGGAAATCATCTCTTTTCGATAAACTATCTTGATCCCAAAATTTTTATTATCCACTGAATTATAATATACCTCTCCTTCGGTATTTGTTTTTCATGAATAACTTGTAGTATCATACCCTCTTTGTTTATTTACCTACAGACTATAATAGTCGGTACCTGAAACTTTTGACTATTGTCGATATTTTTTAATGACAATACTTTTCTATCACAGACGACTGTTCTTGGTAATCGAGTCGAGAATCGATACGATCCTACAGCTTAAATCAATAAAATAGTTTAAAACAAAATTTTATTCGCTGAATTGTCCTTAATTTTGTTTTCAGTAATACAATAAGTTCCTTTCGCTATTCATAAATTGCATAAATATAAAGCTCGTTTATTTCCTTATTATTATTAAAAATGCTAGGAAGAAGGTGGTTCGACAATTGAATCTCAGTGTATCACAGATCCAGAAACGGCTGAAGCACTCCTAGAATTTGAGCAACTTGTTGCGCAAACTTCATATTTGGATAAAAGTCCTTCGATAGGTTAGTTTTCATTAAAACTAAATGAATTAACGATTCAGTTAATAAATTTAAAAACGCTAACTTATATCAATATATTATACGTGTACTTCAGATCAAATAATGTTAAATTTCAAACATTTCACACTGTTGCCCTATGACATAAAGAAAGATTATTTAACGGGCCTATATTTACTCATACGTAGGAATTACCATGCGTAGTTATTTCTACTCTAGTTGACGTATCATGATACGAATTACAGAAACATGTGTGCAAATTATGTACGTTACATTGAATATCAAACTTATCAGAGTAAAGCATTCTATGTTATCCATCACTTGCCACCCACTTTATTGCATGACTTATGTTTACCTACTGCAGAAAACAAGAACTATTTTTATCCACATTATAAAACAGAACCTCGTTAACTGGTAAACATTTGTACAACTACTTAAGTCTGATTCATTGTCTAACATTTTATTTAATAGATTTGAAACATTTAGAGATAACTTTTTTGGACCACCTTAACCAAAATGAAATTAGTTCAACTTAATCAAACTTCTGTTGATTTTGACTGAACTAAATATTTCGCCCTGTACCTCCATACTACTCAAAAACCTCGGTCAATGTAATTTTTCGTTTATTTATTTGCTCTAAAGAAGGGACTTCAACTAAGTCCCGAAATGCCAACAATTCTAATTTCCACCAACTGTGTTATCACAAATATGTTATTATTTTATTATTAGGTAACTCCTTCATTGTTACTGTTATTGTTTGTCTCCTAATTCTTGTGAACCAATAATAACATTTGGCTGATAGTAAAAATTTCACTTCACATTACTTTTGTGCAGAACAGGCACTGTTCATACTACTACTTAATTCAAGACCACTAGATTGACACTTGCGCATCAATCGTTAGACCTTGTGTAGTAAACGAGAACATAGGTGGGGAAACCGGCTTGTACTCAGTAAAATCGGAAAACCATATCGTAAATCGTTAATTTGCAAAATATCAGTCTGTCATATAGAACTGGACTGTTCCTGTTGCAAAACATCAATCCATTGTCACTGTTCATTCGTTTCATACAAATTCCATTGTGTTCTGACTCTTCCTTTCTTGATCTTCCCCCATCTTCTGCTGCCAGCCATTACGTTGACACTCACGTCATATACTACTTATAAGTAGCTCACACCACACTTGGACATGGACTGGTTACTCAATCATTCTTAAGTGACATAAGATTCGACACAATTGGGATTAAACTTAATATGCCACATGACATCAACACAAATGTGGAATTAATACGATAAGTAGCAAAGGATATATAATACTAATAGGATCAGTGTTAGTTATGATGAAGGACCATGATGAATTTAGTTTGGTAAGAGTGGACTTATTCGAAGATTACAAACTACATAGGATGATACTAAAATCTCAACATATAAACGAAGATAAATGGTCGTATGGTTCAACACCTTCAACTACTGACTTATATTATTGTGTCCCGACCGAAACTGCTACCTTGACGTGGTGGTCGGGCTTACCTATCGTGATAGCTCAACCGAGCTATATTGGCTGGAACATATGTTCCTGAAGGTTCTACCGTGCCAGACACGTCGATTGAAGAACGAAGAGACTAAAAGCAGCTACTCATGGTCGTACTGCTGACTGCAGAGGGGTGTGACAGCAGTAAGGTGTTTCCCACGGACAACCAGCATCTGCAGCGATGCTGCCTTCTCACAAGGAAGGAAGGGTTAGAAAAGGTCGACCCTAAAAATGTCACACCCCACCCTACCTCACGGATTTCCGTCTCCGTTGGTATGTGTACCCACTAAGGGCTTTCAAGAACGGAGCTAACACTCAAATAACTTCTCATAAGAAGGCCGTGCGTGACCGGCCTCAAGCAGTTGTTCCTTAGGCTCTACGGTCACGCTCTCAGATGTCTATGTCCAACGCTAATCTACCCTCCTTTTCAGGTCGCTCAAGAAACAACCTTCAACGGTGTGGGCAGCCGGGAGGTGACAACCGCCCTGATACCCGTACCAGCACGCGAGACCGAATCGGTCATAATAAAATCCTTTCTACACACCCTAATATCTCTCTCACTCCACGACTAACTCTTTTCACATTCCTTTATCACACTACACAGCTAATGCAAACGATGCGAGTTCGCGAAACGTCATTCCTGGTCTCCTGAAACCTCGTTCTAAATTACATGTTGGAGCATTTAATGTCCGGACATTGTGTCAACTAGGGCAGCAGGCATCACTAACTAGGACTTCAGAATCTCTCGCCATCGATGTATGCTGCGTCTCGGAAACGCGCATACAGGATCCGAGTAGCATCGTTAATTTGATTTCACCTTATCAAAACAAAGAAACAGCCCGATTTACTCTTCGCGTATCCGGTAGCCCTGATGCTGTTTCCCGGGGTCTCACTGGTGTAGGTATAGCATTGAGTCGTAGGGCAGAACTATCTCTCCTTAGACTGGATCCCAGTAGATAGTCGCCTCTGCGCCGTCCGATTGAATGGGACAGTAAGGATTCGGAACGATAGGGACACCCGTCGTTGCTTCTTCGTCGTATCTGCCTATGGCCCCACTGGCTGCAGTTCAGACGAGGTGAAAAATGAGTTCTACAGAAAGCTTTCGGACCTCCTCCAAAAAGCTAGGCACTCTGATGTAGTAATAATGGCTGGTGACTGTAACGCTCCAGTAGGTAGACTAAGTCAAAAGGAAAGACACCTGGGTGGATGTTATGGTGTCGCGGCTCAGAGAACAGATAATGGTGACTGTCTGTTGCAATTGTGCTTAGATAACCAACTATTTCTAGCAAACACTAACTTTAGGCATAAGGAAAAGCATCTTTTGACCTGGCGACCCCCTAAGTCAACCCAACGATGGGCCCAACTAGACCAAATCTCCGTCACGCACCGATGAAGATGTCTGATGGAAGACTGTCGCCCACTCTGCAGGACTTGTTTCGATTCCCTAGTGCGAGCGTGTATTCGCTTGAGGCCTACTGGACGTAGGAAAGACACCGTAAGGAAGCCTCTTAGGGTTTTACTTAATGATAATAAAGCTAAGAATATATTTCAGGAGCAACTAGAAAGAGAGTTAGGCGACCGTGTAAGCGATTCCCATCCGGAAGTAGGTTGGAATGATATCCAAAAGGCTGTAAAAAACAGCAGTGATATCTGCTAGTAAGGTAAACCATAAGGCTAGAATAAAGGCGTGGATTTCAGTAGCATCCACCGAACTGATGGATGCTCTAAAACTCATCCCACCTGACTCTGAACATGATGAAGAACGAAATCAGCTTAGGAGCAGGCTGATAAAAAGCCTACGCAACGACTGTGAACAGTGGTGAGTGGCGAAAGTAAAAGCTATGGGAAAGGCAGCGGCAATAGACAACACTAGACAACTATTTAGACTTACCAAGGAAACTGGTATTAGAAATCCTACTGTAAGTGAGACTATCTCAGAAAAGGATGGGACTATTATTTATTCTCAATCCAGGAGATTGGATCGATGCGCAGAACACTTTAGAGATCAGTTCAACTGGCCTTCAGCCACACTTCGGTTACCCACAATCTCCAGTCATCCTGAATGGCAAGTCGACGTAAGCCCTCCGAATCTGTATGAAGTTGGAAAGGCTATAGGAAATCTGAAGCGATGTAGAGCTGCAGGTCTTGATAGACTGACCCCTGAGATGTTTAGGGATGGTGGTCCAGTTTTAGCAGCTGGATTGACTGAAATCTTAGGTAGAATCTGGGAACTGGACACAATCCTATCCGACCGGTCTCAATCCCTGATTGTCCCAATTTATCAGAAAGGACAAAAGTCTTCTTGTGACAATCACAGGGAATAAGTCTAACTAATATAGTTTTTAAATTGTTAGCCCCGATTATACTTAGACGCCTTACTAGTGCTCGTGAAGAGCGGACTCGAGAAAACCAGGCTGGTTTTCTTTCTGGACGCGGATGTATAGACCACATGTTCACACTACGCCAGGTCCTGTAACATTGACATACATTTAGGCGTCCAACAATAGTTGTATTCCTGGACCTTAAGGTGGCATTCGATTCTGTTGATCGCGAGGTTCCGTGGCAGTATCTGTCCTTAAAAAGTGTATTAAAGGAGTACATTAACCTTATACAAGCTCTCTTCTCTAAAACTACTGGTCGAGTGAGAGCTTATGGCAAACTGTCATCGGAACTCTTTACTTCAAGTGGTGTACGCCAGGGATGTCCACTTTCCCGCTTCTTCTTTAATTTTATCATAGACATGCTCCTAGATATAACCTCAACCTCGTCTGAATTTTCAGGAATGGACCTTCTATCAGGAGGCTCGTTTATTGACTTAGAATACGCTGATGACATAGTTCTATTTGGTGAAGACACTGACAAAATGAAGAGTCTTCTGACTACCCTAAGCAACAATGCAAGCATGTTCGGGATGCGGTTTTCACCCTCGAAATGCAAAATGTTGCTTCAGGATTGACTTGCAACTTCACCGGAATTAGTGGTAGGGAGTGAAGTAGTCGAACGTGTAGACCGCTTCACTTATCTAGGAAGTGTCATCAGTGCTGATTGCCTGGTGACTGACGAAAACTCAGCTCGGATACAGAAGGCTCGATTCGCTTTTGCCACTTATGGCTCAGGCGAGATATCCGCTTGCCAACCAAAGGACGAGTGTACGTGCAGCAGTTCGCTCCGCCCTGCTGTATGGATGCGAAACATGGCCGTTAACAGTTGAGGACTTTCGTAGGTTACTAGTCTTCGATCATCGGTGTCTCCGAAACATCGCTCGTGTATCTTAGTACAACCATATAAGCAATGCTGTCGTTTGGAGACGAGTACTAGTATGGGATGGCAAATCAGTAGATGAAGTAATGAAACTTCATCAGTTGAGGTGGTTGGGACATGTGTTACGTATGCCTAACCACCGACTGCCGCGACGAGCTATGTTTTGTGGTGTAGGAGTAGGTTGGGTGAAAGCTAGGGGTGACGAAACCAAAACATGGCGCAAATCCATGAAGTCACTGACAAGTGGACTAATTGATGTTGGTAGATGTAGGCTACCTGGTTGGTGTCCGCGGGACAAAAATCACCAATGGTTAGAGACCTTGAATGACATGGCTCAGAATCGTTTGCAATGGCGCAGATGCATCCACTCTTTGTGTTCTCTCTAATTTTAACCTGAATTCCTCATAATCTCTATCTGTCTCTTTCTAAATTTATCTCACTGAATTATACTTGTCGAATCATATCTTCGCTCCCTAATCTTCTCCATTACTGCTAATACTTCTACTGTCGCTATCACTCTTGGATATGAACTGACAAATGTGTCTGTGTGCTGATGTGGTGTGGCAAATCGAACCAATGTACTTACGTACGAAGTTCTGCGTTGCATCTGTCTGTCTGTATATTATTGTGTCGACTAATCTTAAGTAGGTTGGGTGTACTAGCATGGTTCAGATCAACAGTCAGTGATTTCATGTACTAGTGCGACGTCTTGTTTTGGCCCCCACTAGTTTCTGTTCAGTCTACTCCTGAACCAATCAATGTAACGCATTGAGCTATATATTTACCAGTAACTCCAGTCCATGCTAATTCACAGTACTATCAACCCTACTCCTGCTCTCAGTATGTGGTCAAAAAATTGGAAAGAAACATAGTTTTGTTTAGTCTGTCTTCTAACTTCATTTTATTGGAAGCGCTAAATATTTCCTTGTTATTAACGTCTCTTCGTTACGTTTTTTCATGGTTTAACCAGTGCTTTCAAGAAACCACAATTCTTAAATATGAAAAGGTTAAGCTTCGCAATCAGTTTTGTTGGTAACTTACGTCGATGTCATAACATTTTCGGCAGAGGAAAAGGAACAACTAAGTCTTCTGTAAATTCAATTTGTTAGGTCAAGAACTATGAACTTCTCCCATGATTTGAAATTCTGCTATTCAGTCTCAGAAAATAAGGAACTAAAATAATGGAAAATATTAGCGTATGCTTCTTTAACTGATAGTTTTTATGGTTCCACTTTCTAACTAACTACGGAAAATAACTTTTTACAGACAAAATATTTTCTTATTATTGTCTCACTATATTCGAATTCATGTCAGCTGTTAAAAGACTGAAGGGGATGGTTGTATATGACGTCAGTTTAGAAAATTGCGATTGCGAATACCTTCATAGGATAGAAAATTAAACATCATTTTAAACAGGTTGTAAGCCTATCCCCCCTCCACTTGTAAACCTTACTGACAGATATTGTCGATATTTATTTGCAAAGCAAAAGTTTTTGTTGATGTTGGTTTGGAGAGACCTTATCACTTGGAATGAAGTGATACTACCTCCTACGAATAAGTCGGGCAAACAGCCCAGTCCAGTTTTCTTTTTTTAGTATAATCAATCAGCTGTTTTTGAATTCAAGTCATCCTTCATACTTGCTTTTAATTCCCAGTTGTCTGTCTATCTACCAATAACCAATCAGCTCGCTTATATAATTTTTATCGATTTAATTTCTGCATAGATCAATAGGTTTTTATGAATGTTTCTGCAAATATTTCCTCTCGTTTTAAGGTTATGCAACCTTGCCATTCGCCTCTTATATTTTTCTTTATCTCACTTATCCGAATATGACGATCTTAGTTGGTTTTCATGCGAAAAAATATCTGTAGGATTTCAAAAAATAATATGCGTAGTTCCGTGGTTGATAATTATCGATAATGTTAGTATTGCAATTCAGTTGATCATAAAAATTAACCTGAAACTTATTTAATTAACGTGAATACGGTCCAAGTAGCCAGTAGTTCTTAATTGTTTCCGTGATCGCTGAATATAATTAGGTGTTACCTGGCAACTACGTATCACTGTAGTAGATATTTGAAGCAGATAGAATTGAGTTGGGTATTGGAGGCGTAGATCTGATGTACTTATTATGCATGAAGCAATTAGTTGTTCAAAATTCTCAGGTCATCTTTAAGTAACCTGAATTCTTTTTTGGAATATTGTATATACCAGAATATAATTATATAACAATTCTAAAGATTAGAACAGGATATTTGTTGATCTGGTCAGCATCAAAAAAGCAACTCAGGGTAATCAGAACGGAATTCAGCTTTAAGAAAATTGGTAACTGGTCAGTCTGAATTGTGTTGGAACTATAAAATGCTAACAGGTCTTCAATGCGACAAAATTATGTTATTTAAGATATAATTCAATTGCTGTCTTGTTAAGATTAATTCGTAATTTTGACGGTGAAAATATTACTATCTCCACAAATCCCCTATACTAACTAATAAATAACACAGATAATTGTTAACTGGAGGGATGTTCACTAGTTCTCCATTCTGTACTTAATTATTTGTCATTAATATCGAAGCAGAATGTAGGCGGTGTGATCGTAAATGTTTCCAAATGTCACGGCCATATACAATAATAATAAGTGCAACATCCACAATCACATGAAGATAATCGCGTAATAGTTAGATCTGTTGTCTGCAATTCAATTATGTTTTGTGTGTTTATTTTAGAGGTAGTTGGAAGTTTTGCATATATTCAAAATAGATGCTGTTAAATCAATCCTAGTATATATGCATTATTCATTGAATCTCTCAGCCAAATAAATTGTTTTTACAGATGTCATCAAATCTGTAGTCATGTACAATATATATTTTTTGTTTTAACTATCAGCGGAATAGTTTAAAAACAAAATTCTATTTCAATGCATTCAGTCAGTTTAGAATTCTGATAAAATCAACTGGGTAATAACATCTTCATACAATAATTATAACTCAAAGTCCCTTGTGTATATAGGATTCCTAACTTTGTCAGTAGTGATTGGTATTAATAATAAAAGTTAGAATTGCTTTATCAATCTTTTTGCTAATATCTTGTTGGTATGTATTCATTCAATTGAAAATACTAACAGATTTAAATGTTGCTACCCGTCAGTATGTTCAACTGTAGACTGTGAAATAATAAATGAATCCTTTTTTTTAAGTATTGATTATTAAAAGTCTTAAACTTTTAAAGTACTTTGCAGTTATGTAATATCCATTCGGTGTAAAGTGATACATTAACTATAGAACTTTTGATTATATTTTTATCAATTTAACAGTAAGTAAGATATTGAAATGTTTTATTTATATAGACTGATAATTATTCCCTATCATAATTCAATAAGTTTTCACAATGTTTATTATTATTGCTATTTTATTACTATTCTATCCTACCAACCTAGATCATACGAATCTTATAAAGCATAATGAATCTGCATTACACAAAGATTGGGATAATTTAAATGAACAAGAATTATTGCAACGTTTCAAAGAACAGTATCGAGCAAACCGTTCACATGGTAAGCTTAATCACTACTGTTCTGCATGAAACGTCTTTTCTGGATATTTTCTAATGCATTCAGTAAGTGTTGATTCTTTCATTGTACTCAAATCTACTACTAATTACAGTCCTAATCTTTCAGAGCTCTCTCAAATCCTAATCTTCTGGATTCGTCAGCACCTCTACCTTTGTATTTCTAACCGTATCTCACTGAATTATACTTCTTAAATAATATCTTCAAACCCTAGTCTTCTTCATTACCATTAATACCTCTACTATCTCTATCACTATGGGATTTGATTTGACATCTGCGTCTCTGTGCTAATGTGGTATAGCAACCTGAACTTATGTACATACGTACGAAGTTCTACGTTGCAACTGACTGAGAACTCGTTACTAAAGATGTGTCTACTCAAGATGTACATGTGTCAAAAGAAATTGATCTAAATCCCACTCCAAATATCCACTACAGGAAGATGCAAGTACAAATAAACCTTCCATTCTTTTATTTTGTTACATAAATCCATTTTCAAATGTGTCCATTAATTTTATTATTGATATTTTACTGAGTTCATCTAATAACCTAAAACGTTTTGCTCTTATAGAAGGGGTTCGTAGTTCTATTTTTTTGTAAGTGCTATTTTGAAATTTTATTGTCCAGAATTATCGATTGAAATAAATGCTTGTTTAATAATATTTATTCCATATGAATAAGAATCTAGAAAATTCGGATTTGAGAATCGGTTTAATTTTTTGCTGAAAAAAAGAACTGAAGAAAACATATATTAGTGAACAATCATTTCTGACCAGTGGAGTTCAATCATATCAGGTGTCAGGCCGTTATCTATCGATGACATTGAAAGAAGGTCGCATGATACCACCATCGGATACAGGCTCATCGACCCAGAGGATTGTTTGTTCTCAATACTGAAAGTTCTTAGTTCGATCCCTGAAAAGATAGACACTACCAAGAAGTCCGACACTAAGACACAACAGCTATCCATTGCTTCCTGGTTTTCACTTATTGTTTAGCTGAGATTAATCCATGATATAAACTATAAAAAAATTGATAACTTTTAAATTCATACAAATCAGAAAAATTCACCTAGTCAAGATCAGAATAATTTCTGTTTTTGACATAGTGGGTGGTTTTTATCAAACCATTTTCATCAAGTATATGATAATATTTTTTGCTAACAACGTAAAACTAATTCATTATCATTTAACATGTCAAATTATTGAATATTTAAATTATTTGACTATCCTATCTGTGAAAATAGTTTCAAGTATTTGAATCGTTTCCTTTTATTAGATAGAAATTTCTAGTAGTAGTCAATTTTATTTAATTATGAACGTGTATGTTTAAATCCCATTAGCAAAATGGAAAGGATTTATGCTTAGTCAAGCTTTATGTGCATTAATTCTAACAGTCGAACAAAGTTTGGTGTATAAACTCCTTACTTGGTAAATGAGTTATATTTAAATTATATTTCATTATTAGTCTAAGTAGACAATTATTTGATTATATTAGATAAAAATCAAATGTATTGTTTAGGACTGAGTTGTTCATCATATAAAGAAGTGTACGAATAGTTTAGTTATGACATTTACTCATATGACTAATGGTTATTGAAAGCTGTTTTAATCACTACTATCTACTGTACTAAGATTTGAAAACATCTAGATAGATGTTAGTTTCTAAGTTTAGTTTCAGGTTTTCTTTCACTTTTGCCAGGTGAAATGGCTTTAAATCGTTAAATGACATAGATGAACAGCTTCACCTTCATGAGGGAAATACTTTCGGAATTGATAATTGTCAAACAAAAAGAGTAAACATAATTAATTTTAAGAATTAGTTGAAATAGCCATGTGTTCACCACGAAACCTGAGTTTTATAAGTGCATCGGTACACATACTGCTTAGGAGTTCCATACCTAAGATGAAAAAGCTGTTTAATGGTATCCTACTTGAAATCAATCTATGATGATGAATAGAGACTACAAGTTAAATCAATCTCGAATAAAACCCTTACAAATAAGTTCTAAGTAATGTTAGTTTATATTGTTCTCTTTTTTTTTCTAATGACTAACATCGTATAAACTTATTTTTTCCGTTTCATTATTCAATACTCTCCAATTTCCTTTAGCCATATCTTCAAATCTATCTCCTCCTGATTTTCCTTTTATTTCTAATGTTAAATTAAAAGAAAGCTTAAATATCGATGACAAAAAGTTGAAAATCACTTCATTGTCTAGCGATTTACATATGAAACAATCTAATCGTATTAATAGTAATAATAATAATAATAATAATGATCAACTAACAAATTTCGATGCAGTTGAAGATGAATTAGATAATTTACTACCGAATTTTGATATTTTAATCAATCAAAAACATCAACATCATCAACAACAAAATACATTGCCAAATGAAATTTTACACAATTCCAATAATCCAAATCAATTGAATTCAACAAGTGAATCAACTTTAAGACTAGAAGATTTAGCAAATCTTTCTACTACAATGTCAAGCAGTGAATTTGATTCTAAACAAGCACATGCAGTTGCTGTAGCTATGGATAATTTAGATGGAATGAGTGAATGTCTCATTAATCGATCATCAAATGAAAAAATCAATCAATCCACACCAACCTCATTAACACAAAAACCTACAACATGGACAGCAAAGTATACACTGCGTAGTCATTTTGATGCTATTCGTGATATTTGCTTTCATCCTAGTGAATCAGTTTTAGTTACATGCAGTGAAGATCATACTTTGAAATTATGGAATTTGAATAAAACTATTCAAACGAAAAAATCTTCAATGTTTGATGTTGAACCGGTAAGTATTGATTATTATGAAGGCTAATATATGTTGAACAATAAATAATTTTTTACAGTAAACACCATAAACTAGAGGAAAACATTCTGTGCATTTCATTATCAGAGTTTAAATTACGAGCTGGTCTTAGTTAATGCGCCATGGGAAACCAGCAAGGACTGGACAGAATTTTTGTCTTAGTACGAGTTCCCTCAGCAACGCACATCTCTGACCCTACCACAGAGGAGCGAATTTCGCGAATGAACCATTAATTTCTGGACCACTAAACCAGCTTGCCTTGACAAGCGTCCTATAATTCACATCTGAACTAAAAACCTATTTTTATAGTAAATAAATCTCCGAAAACCACAGTCTTCAAATGTATTATTGACTCATCTATTCAACATATTATTTACCTTAATTTTAAATAACTAGTTTCATTTAAGTAATTAGTATGAAGTAAGGGAAATATTTCATGTATTGCTCGCTTTACATGTCGTTATTATTAGTAATATTGTCAAGTGTTTTAACTCTATAGGTGTTCGTTTTTCTGCAGAACTAAGTATATGCGTTTTAGCTACTATAATCGATGAATACAATATGTATTTGTTAGCGATTTTCCATTTCTTTATCAACCAACACCTTTTCAATAGAGTGTGCGTACATGTGATCTGTTTATTGATTAGCATCTTTTGTTTTGTTTTTCACTATCTTTGTTTATACACGAAACTTGAGGAACTGTGTTAAATTACCAGAACATAAAGTTCCCGCTGGGTTTTTCTAAGCAATCATAGTTTAAATGTTGACATGTGAAACAATGTACTTGAATGTGCATAATTCTTGAAACATGTATCTCAGATCATATTTTCTATTAAAAGACTTCACTGATAGCACATATTCATTCTCGAATTCATTGTAAAGTTAACCTCTTACAGTGAAGCTTATTCAATGTGCACATTGTTAACTGGTGACTGATATTGTTTCAACAATATTTTCATAAATCATATACACTTTGTTATTCATATTTATTTCTTTTTCTTCCTTTGGATAATAGATATACACATTTCGTGGACATAACTCGCCTGTTTTATCAGTTACAATGGTTCCTAGTTTATTCAAAATGGATAATTCCGGTCATTCAGGATTGATGATTTCACCGATTTATATATATTCTGGCGATTTATCGGGTTGTATACGTAGTTGGTGTGTATCTAGTCTACAGTTAGATCCTTATGATACTTTTGATACATCAATGATAGGTCCTACCTTTGAAGGTCATACTGATGCTGTTTGGTCATTGTGTTCACGTGTAAGTGTTCTTTTTTCTGTTGTTCACTTGTCAAATACTCATTAGACTTTCATTATTGATAATCATTTGGACTTCCAATATCTGTATTTCTTATTAAAGTAGGTAAATCTTCATACAAATAGCTATGTATTGGAATTTCCAGTTGACCTTCGACACTTGCGAATTAGCGAATTACGAAACAACTGAGTCATTCTAATACTAACAGACGTATTGTGAACTTCATAGCAGCTGCTAGTACACAACACTTCAACAATTAGCCGTTGACACAAGACGAAATGTGGAAAAAAATGGATATTCATAAAGAATAACTGAGAAATGGTTAAACTCAGTATATATTGTAGCGAAAGCATGATTTACAAGCAATCAGAGTATTAGCAAACTTTTGGTGATAGTGATCAATCAAAAAAAAGTCGAACATCATGCAAAAAGTGAATTGCAAATAAAGCATTTAAAGTTATCGCTCCTTGTAAGAATTCAATTTGATTCACAAAAAGAATTAGGTGATTCTGTGATCGCCTGAGGAGTGGCCATGGTGAAATATTCAAAAGTGTTATTATGTCCGCGTAAAAATATAAGGCAGTTTGATTAGAATCAAAACTAAATCTTTGACCGCTTGGCAATGGAAATTCATCAATTTTATTGAAAAAGTAATGACAACAACAAAACCTTTAATCATTGTTTATTCATGAATTTATCCGGTTTTAAGTGTTAACTTAAGTAAATGTTTAAAATTTCAGATGGCATTTGCCTTTGACACAGAAAATAATGAAAAATCAAATGGTCGTTGAAATCTTACTATTAAAATTACTGTATAAACTAGATTAATCGAAGTTAAAACATTATATATATATATATATATATATATATATATATATATATATATATATGTAAATTGTCCTTTGGTATTTAACCAAAAGCTAGTGACAAGTATCATTCTAGTTTAGCCTTATTACAAATCTACAATTGATTTAATGTAGAAAAGTATCTAATATAATTTATGTAAAATGTCATAACAGTTAAACAATATATATATATATATATATATATATATATATATATATATAGTCTATAAAGTTAACTTTCAATCAATGTTTAAAAAAATCCAATAATTATAAACTGTTTTTTTTCTCTCTCTCTCTCTCTATATATATATATATATATATATATATTACAGTACGATGGTTTACTACTTTCAACTTCCGCCGATGGCACTTCTCGTTTATGGCATTTACGTCCGAATTCATTTGTTAACTCTGATGTATATTATATTAGTAACATGATTAATAAATGTGAGAATATATCTCAACAACAAGATGCAGTTCCTACATCAGCCACATTTTTATGTACTAATCTAGCACATTTCGCTGCTGGCTTCAATTCAGGTCATGTGTGTTTATTCAACTTAGAGACACATCAAATTGTAAGGAATTTCCAATCAATTAATAAGACAGGTTAGTAGTTTGAGACAAATTAAAAAATGGTTCAAAATTCTTATATTATGCAAGAATATTTTGATTCATTCTCAGAATCAGTTTTCCTCACTTTACGAACCCATAGAAGTTTTAAATTTTCGTATGATTATTCTTTTTGATATTCAAAACTGCAATTTGGTCGATTTGTTAGCATACGTGAATCTTAACTGAGTTATCTCGTTATGTATGTCCTTTTAGTTATGAGTTTTTAGTATATTTGGATTTTGGCTAACAACCAAATGTAAAATGTTCGTTCCATCTTATTTAGGATTTTCCAGTTGGATGTATTCACTTCCCATTATTGATGACTACATCCAGACCAAAACCGAGTACCTGTCGTATTAAACTTTATTGCGTTATTCACAGAACACGAACGGCTATTAACTTATTGAAAGGGTCCTGACTAACCACCACTCAAATATGCGAAAGCATATTTCTTATGACTAGCATTCACTGGTGAATCAATACTCCCTATTCTAGATTCTGCAAACTGTGACTCAGCATACTCAATAGTTGTCGAACATGGGTTCGTATTGAAGTCGGTAAATATTACGTTGTAGCTTCCAATTAAAATATCAATGGGAGTTTCCCGACTGCACTTGATGTTAGTTTTTTACCCTTACAAACATTTACTGTTCTTGAAATCCGTCTTGTGATATCTTAATAACATGTTTTTTGCAAAACTTTCTTAGCGTTAAGGTTATATCAAATTTGTCCTGAAAAAATTGAAAAGTAAGCAGAAAATTTGTTCATAGCTTCACAAACTGTCAAAACTGACAACCAGCTTATGCATGACGGATGAAAATTCAGTCCCTGCCTATTCATTCATTGTTATTAGTACATCAAGAAAATGTGTTCGGAATATATATATATATATACATGCAGCACTGCAATAATAAAAACTTGGCTAGTAACAGTAACATTCTTAAATCATCAAGACCACGTATTGAAATAAATCTATAGAGTGCTGTGTATTTAGCATATATGGCTAACAGTGAAATCCAAGATGAATTTCGTTTTATTTGAAATTTACTAACCGAATGCACCCACACTTCAGTGTTAATATTCACATAGGGATACAAACTAAGGATCTTTCTCTTTAAATATAAATGTGTTGCCCACTAAACACTACTTAGTCCAGATAATCGATAGCTCCTTCAATAGGCATGGCATATACATATACATATATTATCATTATTACTATTAGTAATAATGACAGTAATGATAGTAGTGAAAGGTTTTCCATTTTCAATAGTCAGCTAACAACTGTAATTTTTTTGAAAATAATCTCTTTCCCGAATAACTTTGTTAATGTACCTTTTAACCCGTGTTTTTCGTGATTTATATTGATATTGTAGATTCTTCATTACTTATCCACTTATGATTTATACTGTTAATTACTAACACTTGTTGATTGTTTTGCAATTATGCTGATTGATCATTTGTACTATAAAATGACCAGTTCATTTGTACTTTGATAATGTGAATGTAGGATAACGCAAATATAAGTTATGATTGTTAGTTTTTTTTTGTAGTTCATATCGTTATGACCTGCAAATATGACTGACTAGTCAGATTTATCATTTTGATTCGATGAATTTATAATGTATACTATATAAATTAAAATTGTAACTATTTATTGATTCTTTTAGATGTCAATGATACTTCTCAAAACGGGAATGCATACTCTGTAAATTCCGTTATTTCACATCCTCACTTCTCACTAATAATCAGTGCTCATGATGATCGTCAAATTCGATTTTGGGATTCATTAAGTGGTAAATGTGTTCACTCATTGACCGCTCATTTGGATTCAGTAACAACACTCAGTTTAGATTCAAAGGGAACATCATTACTGTCAGCAAGTAAGAATAACCACATTAATTTTGTTTATATGCTTTTTTGAAACATAGTACCATCGTATATTTCAATTACATTTTCTTACGCTTCTGTGTATGTGTTTGCATGTTGTTTAGTTGTCAATCGTAGAAAATATAAATCATCTTAAATTAATTCTATTATTGATACTGCATTCTAGACAGAAATTTGTGAAGTACATCTCAAGATAATAATTGTTTTCACTAAAAACCGTTAAACATCGATTTTCTCAACTCACATCAATAAAATGATATAAAAACTGAATAACTTCTATTCACACTAACCATTTCACTAATCAGTTTAAAATTAAACATATTACTTACTGTTATTGATTCCGTATGATAATATTCATATATTTTAATTACAATAAGGTTAAAAATGATAATTTGTAGTGTTGTGCTCTAATTATTTCCGTATGCATTTCTTTAATCGACTTATAAAATAAATGCAAGTTGATTGCTTGTTGTAATAAAAGCTCCCTATTATATCCATGTAATCTCTTGTCTCAATGACACAATATATTCAAACTATTGTCAGTGGAATCCATGTTCATAATTATTCATTCATAAATTTTACTAGCTTTGTGATAACCGATACGTTCCATACGTATATTATACATAAAACTTGGGAAAATTCATATACTTATTCTCAGCATTGAGTTCAAAAATTGTCTATTGCTTAAGTTGACCTCAATCATCTTCCACCACATGTTTTAGTTTTGTTGAATTAAGAATGGATTTTACTTTATTCTAAAATTAGATCATGACGTTCTTACACATGTGTATTAATATATGTAACTTATTTTAAAAGTATTTCTTCATGAATTCGGCTTTGAATAACATATTCTGTGTTTGAGAAAGCTACCGATGTTGTTCACCATCTTGTATGGATCAAAATACGTGGAGCCAGTTTCAAACTGGAGTATACATGTCTTATTCAATTGAGTAGAACATATGGAAAAGAAGTTTCTAATTCACTTTATTTCAGTCGACATTGTTGAAAATTTTGTTTATCTAGTTTTCCAATTTCAACAGATGTTTTTAGTCAATTTTGAATGTTAGTGTTCTCCAACAAAATATTTCTATTTTCATCATATTCCTTGTATACTGTAGTATTTTCTAATGCGATACATTTCCTTGTCTACCTACCGATTCACAATCTGTTTTTTATCCTATCAAATAATGGCTTGTTTCTGAATTTTTACCTAAGCATAGTAGTCAAAGAAGACACTCGAGATAAACTTTACAGATGTTTATACTAGTTTCTGTGTTAAACTGAATGAATGATTAAAATCACATTACAGTTAATCTTACTTTAAGCAAAATTTTAAATTCTCGTTATATAACGTCATATATCTAGATTCTATTAAAAATGTAATAAATTACATAGAAGTGAAATAATGTTAAAACTCACTATTTAATTTTGTTAAATAAACTTCCTGAAGTTAATTTTTTGTCTTTTTAACTATATATCACATTGTTTTATTACACCCCTCAAGGCCATGACTGTTCCATACGAATATGGGATATCAATACAAAATTGTGCATTCAAGAGATAACAGGTCATAGGAAAAAATTCGGTGAAGCTATCAATGCTGTTGCATTTCATCCAACACAGCATTTTATGGCTAGCGCTGGGTCTGATGCACTGGCCAAAGTATATGTTTGAATTGAAGAAGGGGAAAAATGGTCATTATGAAGGGGAGAGGGTGCAGTTGCAAACAGCATACTTAATGTTCACTAACGTTTTAACCATTAACTGTAAATATCAACATCCTTTCTATGTATATTACTATTATTAAAACTTTCTGTTAGGTATTATTCTGTACGTATTGACTTGCTTTTTTTACACATATGTGACTAGTTATTTACCAGTCTTTTTATGTCTACTTATCACTTTTCTTCAATTTATCATTTGATATCACAAACTAATTTCGTCACATTTTATCGAGTTAACTGATGACTGTTCTTTCATGTGAGCCGGTTACCGAATTTCCTGCCTACCAGTGGTTGTATTTTAATAAGCAGTTTCCTCACATCGCAAGGATAAACTCTACCTGACTTTTTGTTTCATTCAGTATGTACATTATTTTAGTTCTATAATATTTTATCAATTAATTTTAAATTCAATATTTTAATAAAGTGACCTCTGTACATACTGTATATGCAGTTGGTTGACATATGTTACTGATAGATTATTGCGTAAAGTCTTGCCTAAAATTAATTTCTAGTACTGATACTGGATTCCAAATACTTATACTGCATATAACCGAATATAAAATCACAATCAATTTATCTTATGTTTAATGTCTGTAACAACAAAAATTACGGGACTAGAATTCTAAAGAGAATAAAAGTGTTTTAGTGGTATGCGCCTTCTGTGAATATGAAAATGGCAAGACTAAGTAACAATAGAACGTTTACGTATTCTCTAGTAGCTTTCATTTAGAATAATGTATTTCCTAAATTTCAAGACTACGTACTCTCACTAAAGGATAAGAATGCATGTATGGGCAGAACTATCGCTTATTCGTTTTAGTAAATATGTGCATCTTGTTTAATAATGACAAGTTTATGCTTCAAAATTCGAGTCACGTTTTTAGTGTGGTAAGACCTATAGTTACTATCCAACTCCTCATATCGAATTCGACTGGCTAGACTTTTAGATTCAGACTTAGTATGCTGAGTTAATTAATGACGAGGTATAACAGATAGTCAAATAGCGCGTAAGGAAAAACATGACCTGAAACACCACGTTCTGATCTCGGTAATGTAACATGCATAAAATATCCAAACGTCCCACTCAATAACAATTTGTCGCATATTCCAAAGTACTTGCTTAAACTCATTGCTTTTGTACTGTATGAATCGCTGATGATATCGAGTCCATACCCCCTAATTGATTGACTGTTAAGAGAGGAATACAACCGCTAAGAACAGTGGCCATAGTACTTTACAATACTTAGCCCACTATTTCCCAGATCCCTAAGAACAGCGGAGTATCAGGAGAACCCACTCTGCCTCTTGAAATGGTTATCTGAGCACAGTTGCAACAGACGGCCGCCATTGTCTGTTCTTTGGGCCGCGACACCATAACATCCACCAAGGTGTCTTACCTGCTCACTTAGTCTACCTACTTGAGCATTGAAGTCACCAGCCATTATGACTACATCAGAGTGCCTAGCTTTTCGGAGGAGGTCCGAAAGCTTTCTGTAGAACTCATCTTTCACCTCGTCTGAACTGCAGTCAGTGGGGGCCATAGGCAGATACGACGCGCGTCCCTATTCTTACTGTCTCATTCAATCGGATGGCGCAGAGGCGACTATCTACTGGGATCTAGTCTAGGAGAGCTAGTTCTGCCCTACGACTCAATGCTATACCTACACCAGTGAGAGCCCGGGATGCAGCATCAGAGCTACCGGATACACGAAGAGTAAATCGGGCTGCTTCTTTGTTTTGACAAGGTGAAATCAAATTATTGATGCTACTTGGATCCTGTATGTGCGTTTTCGAGACGCAGCATACATCGATTGAGCGAGATTCTAATGTCCTAGCTAGGGAAGCCTGTTGCCCTATTTGACACAATGTCCGTACATTAAATGCTCCAACATGTAATTTAGAACGAGGTTTCAGGAGACCAGGAATAACGTTTCGTGAACTCGCATCGTTTGCATTAGCTGTGTAGTGTGATAAAGGAATGTGAAAAGAGTTAGTCCTGGAGATAAGAGAGATATTAGTGTGTGTAGGAAGAATTTGATTATGACCGATTTGGTCTCTCGTGCTGGTACGGGTATCAGGGCGGTTGTCACCTCCCGGCTGCCCACTACAGTTGAAGGTTTTTTCTTGAGGGACCTGAAAAGGAGGGTAGATTAGCGTTGGTCATAGACACCTGAGAGCGTGACCGTAGAGCCCAAGGAACAACTGCTTGAGGCCGGTCACGCACGGCCTTTTTATGAGTGTTAGCTCCGCTCTTGAAAGCCCTTAGTGGGTACACATACCAACGGAGACGGAAATCCGTGAGGTAGGGTGGGGTGTGACATTTTTAGGGTCGACCTTTTCTAACCCTTCCTTCCTTGTGAGAAGGCAGCATTGCTGCAGATGCTGGTTGTCCGAGGGAAATACCTTACTGCTGTCACACCCCTCTGTAGTCAGCAGTACGACTTCGCCCTCAGACCCTGAGTAGCTGCTTTTAGTCTTTTCGTTCTTCAATCGCTACAGACGCTGGTTGTCCGAGAGAAACACCTCTCTGCAGTCAGCAGTACGACTTTGCCCTCCGACGCTGAGTAGCTGTTTTCCGTCTCATCGTTCTCCAATCGACCTGCCTGGCATGATAGAACGTGTTCTAGCCAATATAGCTCGGTCGGGTCATCACGATGGGTAAGCAGGACTAACACGTCAAGGTAATAGCTACGCAGAATCCACCTAACTAGTGTTTCGTATACGGTGACAAATGAAGTTGCTTCAGAGTTCCTAATGAACAAGTCCTCAGGTTGTATTTATTCGTTCAGAAACCAGGAACAAAATAATTATTCTCATCGAATCATTTTCACACCCTTTATTTTAGCATGACTTACTGTTTAAGTCCTGAAAAAAGGAATGGCTTTGCTCTCAAGCGTTTTATATTGCACAAACCTGTTTGCCATGCTTATTGCTTGATTTATGCGAATACTTAGCTAACGAAAAATTGCTTCGATTAACGTTCCCAGTAATCAAGAAAAACATTTACAACGACACTTCCACACATTTCACAGCTATAACCACCGACCGCGTCGTGGAGCTACGTTTTGTGGTGTAGGTTGCTAGAACGCTAGGGGCGACCAAACCAAAACATAGCAAAAATCCACGAAGTCACTGACAACTGGACTGAGTCATGTTGGTAAGTATAGACTACCTGGTTGGGATCCGCAAGATGATAATATTCGATGGTTAGAGACCTTGAATGAGACATGGCTAAAAACCATTTACAATGGCGCATGTGCATCCATTCTTTGTGTTCTCTCGAATCTAATCTTCTGGATTCTTCATCACCCTCATCTTTTTAAGTTCATTTTCACTACATTATACTTCTTGAATAATATTTTCGAACCCTGATCTCTCTGATTACTGCTAATACTTCTACTACTATGGGATTTGAATTGGCAGTTACGTCTCTGTGCTGTGGTATGGCAACCTGAACTGATGTACGTACGTACGAAGTTCTACGTCGTAACTTCTAGTAAAGAAGTTCCGTCCTAATTAACAAATGCTACATAGGTATACATAATATTTCCACTAATTCTTATTCAAGTCATAATTAATTATTGTCCCTACTTACCGGTCGCCAGAATATGACAATCGATACGTTTCCAAAGAAAACATACGATCAAAGATAGAACCAACTTTTATTGACTACTTACTAATGAAGGATTTCAAATATGGGTGGCCTTAAACATTAACACTAAAGAGCAACATGCCTGATAAGACGGAGGTCTTCGTGTTCCATAACATATCTCACATAACATTTTTGGTAAGTAATCTGGTAAACCACTTGCACGACTAAAATGCTCTGAAATGGCATTTTGATATTAAATTTAAACAATGTACAAAGGAATTTGCCAGGGAATAGCTTAGCTATTTATTTACTCATTGATTTGACATTTATCTCGCCATTTACAATAGGCTAATTTGAATATTATTCGCGTCACAAATCATTACATAACACATTTAGGAACAAAGCAGCCACATACCGGATTATGATCAAATCAACAACGGTTCTAATTTGGAATTCCAACTACAAACAGAGCACTTCCCCTACATTTTGTTACGATGCAGATGTATTGTTTAAGAATGTGGCTTAAATCACCGAACAATGCATTCGGGATTTTGTCTGAATGCTCACTGGTGAGACGTCATCCCTTAGCAGGGAAATGATAGTCAACAAACTTCCCAAACAATCCGGACCAGACATGTAGTGTTGGTATACATTTATTATATGATACCACGAAAATTAGAATACAAACGCCATTGAAAGATTGTTAGAGCCAAATAATTCTACACCTAAGGCACAGACAATTACCTACAAGGGTTTTTCAACACATCATATCGTGAACTACTTGAGGTATTTGCGTTCTCATTTTACCATGAAGCTCTTCTGAAGAAAAAGGAAGTTCTCTCTTTTGATAAGATATTCTGAAAGCTGACTTGATGGATCTTAGTTTACATAGTGAGAAATGTTTGAAGCGAGTACTGTTTAATTCTGCCCAAACTACAATTTCCCAGTAGTAAATAACTCAGTAGGAAGTAACAATGACTTTGGACAACAGAACTAATCAGCCAGAGAAACGAAATTCTATGGAAGTGCATATCGTATCACAGACACGTGATTTACGATCATTACCCTTCCCCAGCATCCTAAAAGAATATTAACCAACTACAATCTGAAGAACGAGAACATCTAACGTCCGAAAGTTTCTGTTCCTTTGGATAATTCATTTGCTTTATTGTCACAGTAGTTCTAAACATATTACGCTGAAAATGTTCAGTTTCATTGTTTAGCATACTCAGAGTATTCTTGGCATTAGTGATTGGGAAGTCGGTATATGAATTATAGGACACTTGTTACAAAGTTAGTACTGTAGTTGTTGCCACAAAAGCAAAGTAGTATTATTTTTTTGTGAGGTTCCAGTCACACTACACTATAACGTAAAGACCATTGACAGAAATAATACAAAGCTTACTGTAAGAAGCGAAACGTAAACTCACATACTCGAGGAATGATGAAACATGTGACGGTATTTGTAAAAAAACTAAGTGAAAACTGAGAGAACTAAGTCAACTTTATGTGCCCTAAAATTACGATAATAACTGCTACTAACAAAAGTCAGAAATGAGAAAACCAGTTCTGACTCCTAATAATAATAAAGCGATTCGTAAGATAGGTTCTAGACAAATTAACCAGGTTACCTTAGCATTTTGTGCATATAGGTGGATTTAGCATTCAATCAGCTCGTAAATCAGTTTAGCCACCCACCCTATGATTAGAAACCCTGTGCAGCATTTCGATGTGTTCCAGTTAACTTTTGTAGGCTTTGCTTTAGCATAGATATCAGGCACCTAATCTAAACTTGATGTTTTGCTATGGAAACCTGAAGTTTGGATGCCAATGGATTTTCCCGAACACTTTGTGATACATGAGATAATTTACTCGTAATTTGTTTTACAGATACTTCGAGTTAGGTTTCGTAGTTTAGCATCAGTCATCTACTAAAAATATGCCATGGCTTGGTTGATATCAGTAAATCTACCCCCTCAGCTATAGAATCTAAATAACTAGCACGAATAATCTAATCAATGGAAAACACGCCGCCCCATAAAACTGAGTAGCTAACAACCAAGCTAACTAACTAACGAAAGCATAATACAGATATGTAAATACCGGGAGAATTACTTTGAAGATTCAAGTGCATGAACATTCCTAAGAAGCAAAATGAACTAATGAGAACTTGTAGTTATAAAAATGTCTTTCGGATCTTAACATATTAAAAATGGCCACTATTTCGAGTTCGTACACGTATTGAAGTTCTTCGTTAACCGACTGGATTTGGCAACCTAACATCACTGTGAATGCGATAACGAATGGAATAACCTGTCACTCGACCTTAAGAGCTCTGCAAAAGTGTTCAACAAGAACATGAATAACTGATTATATTTGTTAGATTCATATACCAAGAGGTCAACTTAGTTTTCGAAAGAAAAGAATACAAAGCAAAATGACTTCATATATACGTACTTATTGAACTGAGATAAAATATGCGCAAAATCTCATTTGTGAGGTTATGGATCAAAGCATTACATGTTAATCCGAAAAATTATTACGTGGTCAGATTTAAAATATGAAGATAAACTTCAGACAACATGAAATATCTGTCAAATCAAGGACAGATAATAGTAAAATGTTAAGTTTTGAAGTTTAATAGTTAAAGATGATAGACAATGACTACCTAAATGAACATAACCATGAAAATATGAGAACCAGCATATTAGAGAACTTGGCAATAATTTGGAAAAAACAAAAATCAAAATGGTAAAACGATAAACTGCACTACTGGCGTGCACCTACATGACTCTTGGGAACTTAATGTCAATAAATTCAATTATCCCTAAAAGCAACTCTGGCCAAATCAGCAAGCACGAGCAATTGTCAGGTCTACCTTCTAGGCCTTTTCATCTGTATCTTTCTTTGCGTTGTCTATAAAGCACAATTGTGAGGACTGAAAACAGACTTACCATCTCTCTCAGGATCTGAAGTCCATAGAGTTAGATTATCTCGCAACAACTGCATTATTAAGGTGGAGTCTTTGTAGCTTTCTTCTGATAGTTGATCTAGCTTAGCGATTGCATCGTCAAATGCTGCTTGAGCAAGATCACACGCTTTAACGGGATCGTTCATAATTTCGTAGAAATAAACTGAGTAATTGAGCGCCAACCCCAACCTAATTGGGTGAGTTGGGAGCAACTGAGTTGCGGCGATTTCAGAAGCCTCTGAGTAGGCTTTATTACTTTCCTCAGCTGCTTTTTTACGTTGTGCGTCGACTGAGAATTCCGCCATGTAACGGTAATAATCACCTTTCCTGAAAAAATAACATCACGAACGCAAGCTATTTACATTTTGAGGTAAAAGACTTTAGAGTCAGGCTTTGATGCGCTGTCAATCAAATACTTGTCAATAAGTTCCAGTATTTCCTTAGAAACGCGGTCGAGTTCACCCTCCAAAACCTCTCGATATTTTTTTGTAGATGCTTGTTTTTCAGCATTCCCTCGATGTGCTTCCGTCTGCTCAAGTGCACTAAATACACGCCACGACGATCGCCGAGACCCAATGACATTTTTGTAAGCTACTGAAAGTAAGTTGCGCTCCTCAACAGTCAACTCCTCTCCCTTTTCTACAACTTGCTTCATTGCATCAACCATCTCTAACAAATGAATAGGACTCAATTAGTAATCCCATTAAACATGAGGCGAGACAAGCAACATCCCAACTACTTACCATCATATCTTTCCAATTGCTCAGCTAATTTAGCACGATATACAAGAGTCTCTCTTTCCGTCATTCTCGTATCAAACAAACTATACGCTTGCAAAAATGGCCGAATTCAATAAGGTATCTAACCGCCCTAAACTTTGATCTCGAAAAACAAAAACAGTTGGTATTGAACGATGTAATTTTACAACCCTAAAGTTCTACCTAAAAGATCTAAATAACCTGTTTTCCTTTTACATTCAAGTGAATCATCCTTATATAAGCTAAGTTGTAATAGTAATGTTCACGAGCGATATTATTTTACCTACATATTATTATGAGCAACATTTTATTACTGTTTCAGATCTTAATTGATACCGCTTTACTGCTCTATGTAATAGGTTTCCAAATTGTGAGTTATTATTCTTTTTTTTCGGACTTATATTCTCCAGCCCTTCATCTACCATAGGTAAATAGATGCTACACTATGTTGAATTAGTGCTAGCAATAAAAGATCAGTCTTTGAAGTGTGGAAGCCCAGTAATTGTTTTGTTTTTCCAAAGAATCGAAAACGAAATGTTAGTAGGCATAACTGGTCGGCGTATAACAGGCACAGAACCTATCAAATAGCTTTGTAAGTAACTATAACTCTTGGTAAGCTTGCATCTATTATGAATGTGCCTTGTATGTCGGGAGTGTCAGGAGCAGTTTGCGAGATTATCTGAAAAGGGAAAGAAAAGCAGAGAAAGTGAATCGAAGGCTCAGTAAACACACAGAACGCACTTACATCTAATAAACCAATCAGTCGATAAAAACCAGAAAGAATATAAGCCTAATTTCCGACGCCTTACTTGATTGATATTTATGCTGACCCCATTAAATTTTAATAACCACTATCTGTAGTAGCTCTATTAAACAGTATGTTTTTACTTTTATGGCATCCGCATGATATTCCTCTCAACAAGCCTTTGACTAAGAGGTCCAATGATTATACATGATTGTTCAAATGCAGAGATATTACACATATTGAGAGAATGGTAACGTCTTTGTTCGCAAAACTTTGTAACGAAAGATCTCAAACTTGGTCAAACCAGGATCCAGGAATGAAGGAGATCGAGTGTATATTCGGAAGACAATTCAAACTTTGAAAAGCATGTCATCTAAGATGAGCAGTTGTTGTGAGTGGTGCATAGCACTCATTGGTGATCGGGAGTGGATGCGTGAATGAGCGCCTTCAGTTGAGATGTTTCTAATAAAACCAACTACGTTAACCCCAATGACAAAGACTTACAGAACCTTTTTGCTTGAGGATTTATTTACCGCTACGCATGTACTGTCTTCTTACTCATCTACCTTCAGAATCTCATTCACGATGTGCGTGTCATTACTACCATTCCTTGGTAAACAAAGAGGACTTTTGAAATTGTCAAGCAAGTTATCTTATTCAAGTCAATATAAATGATGATGAAGTCATCAATGGCTTTCTCATCTTATCAGACCTTAAAGTCAAGATACAGACAAATCACACGTTATTTTATGCTGAAATGTATGATACTGTAAATTTTTGTTTTATGTATTAAATTTCTGATTTTAAGTAGAAATTTTACATATTTTCGTATCACGAGTTTGTGACTGGGTCCTTTTTGTATTTTGTATTGCATATGCTGAGATGAGCTGCATAAAATGCCAAAGGCCGGCTCCGAATTTTTTGTATGAGTCGTAAGTTCAATGGGGTGGGTGATACATTTGTCTTATTGTTTGTGAGCTACTCAGTGAATACATTTATTTATTTAGTTGACTCACCAGGAAAGGCCTTCGATCATTTATAAGCTAAGTTAATATTCTTTAGTCATAACTTAGATTACCGGATAAAATGATAAGACAAGATAGCACATTCTGGATTCAGTGAAGCCCAATAATTGTTATTATGAAATCAAACTTCGAATATTTCATTCTGAATGTGAAAACGATCCAACACAAGCAAGGTTCAATTTTTGGTATTGAATCACCACACTGCTCCCTACAGCGTACGAAATTTTCTGACCTCACCCACAGTAACTGGCCAGAATTTAACGATATTAAGTCGCAATTTAATGAGAAAATATATGTTGTGTCATTAGGTAGCAAGAAATCTCATCAAAAATTTTCAAATACCTCGTAGAATTGTGATTCGGACACTATTGCTTAAGTAATCCTCAGAAAAAATTAGTTACAAGATGCGACTGTTACATATTTGAGAATTGGAATTATATACTCATAGATCAAATTTATTTAAAATTTTTCCCTAAGACAGCTAAGTAACATTAACAAGGAACCGTTCAATAAGACAGACCGTTTTGTCAACAGTCAAACATAATTTTTGCATAAAATATCAAAGGCGAACGATAACTAAAGCCAGATGATTATTGTGTAGACAAAAATACAATAAACATCTAAGCGATGTCGCATGAATCTTCAAGGAAAATCTTCATATGCCAAATAAGAGATAAATATCCAAGCAGATACTGTGAAACTGTTTAATAGAGCACTTTTAAACATTTTCAAAGTATTTATCCTGTCACTGTATTCTTAGTTAGTCTAGTTGTTGATAAAATTATAATCTCGACTGAAAAATCTGTTCGGATGTCATTTCTGCACCATTTACGGATTGACTTAGGATTTTACCGGTAGCGACCCAGGAAATGGACCCAGCAATCTTCCTGATTTCGATGGAAGAATATTATATCGCTTTCGAATAGTGGCAATCAACAGCATGTTTTAATTAATTAGACATTCTGATCGACATTCAGATCAAACAAATATGGATAATCATTACGTTATTTGAGGGAACCACGAAGCATCTTTTGTGAACAACATTAGCAATTAATAGGTCATACTAACACGTGCAGCAGCGTTATTTCGCATACTCTCGAATATCTGTACTCTTAGAAAGTGCTACTCATTTATTTGTTGATCTGTACTCTGATTAGTTGTAAACCTTCGAGGAACTTCCACAAACTTTCAGACCATATGCCGTCGTTTTCGGACAGTTTTACTCTGGTGTTTCTGAAATACGAGTTGACAAATTTCTGCCTTCATATCATTGCCAACCTCTATGGTAAAGGTATTCTAGTTGTCTCGTTATACTTAGATCCGGGATATAATTTCACGACAGAGTCTGATTTCGCTAATGTCGGTCAACCGAAGACTTTCTGATACTCTACTCTAGAGATGATTAGGTTAGACGTAATATGTTGACATGATAATTTTTTGATGCTGTTGGTTAATATTTGTAAATTCCTATCTTACCACATCTAAAACATTTAGAATTACGATATGTACATGAATTACGAGAATGAAGTTTTCCACATGATAAACATTTGCCGAACTTGGTCTCACCTTTGTGATTTCCTTTGTCATTCTTTATTGAGACACCGTTCATATTTACACGAGAATAGGAACCTCTGTTAAACGAACACAATTTCGATTGACCCTGAGATTGTTTTTCATCATGACAACTAATCAAAGTATTGGAAATCTTCATCGACTGAATATCAAGTTCATGCAACGCCTCGTAGTTAATGCACGCATTTCTAACATCTTGAAAGGAACAGTTTGACATTCTTAACAGCTCTCTTTCCAAACTATTTATGTTAATTCCTGCAATTAATCGGTCTCTCAGCTGCACATGAAGATGATCACCGAAATTACATTTGACAACTTGTTTCTGCAATTCAAGAATGAATTCATTAACCTTTTAGTCGTTTTGACGAATCATCTTATGAAATTTCGCACTTTCACGGCATTCAAAACCAGGGCACTTTACATGATTCAATAATAACTCCTTAAGCTTTGCATAGGGAAGTGAGATAGGTTTTTCTGGATATGCCAAAGTTTTTGTTGGGAGCTACTGCAACGGCGGATGCTGCTGCACAGATAATTTTCTCTTGCAGCTGTTGCTGAATATGCAAGATCATCTGAGAAATACAGGTCATCTAGATGCATCACAGCTATCCACTGTATACCGTGCTTCTATGCTGTATCGTACAATTGTCTCATGTTTCCTTCTCCAGCAGCTTTTTCCTCTGTCATCTCTAGATCTTCCAAATATTTATGTTTATCGTCTCTGATGCTTCACTTTACTTGCTTCTTCGCTTCTGTGTATTCAGCTTGTGCATTGGCTTTCTCTGCTCTTGTCTGGCCGATATTGATTGCTGCTTTCTTGTTCCTCCTTTCTTCAAGACCGTATTAAAATTTTGTGATGTTGTTACGTCCAAGTTTCGCTCCTTCCGTTATTGAAGTACAGTACGTCGATCTATTTGCGATTCACGAACCCAAATCAACAACAAAACCAACTCCAAAGTAGGTACCAAAGTTTATTTGTAATTCATAAATAATCGACCAAAATGACGCTCGTCAATTTACAAATAGACGACCAATGTCGTTCTAACAACAATAATTATAATATTTACAAATACCTTCAATTTTATAGGTTCCTGGAGCAAAAGCTCAAAATGACCAAAACCAAGACAAATGGAATTCAAAATGGCCGAAAATAATAAATCAAACAAGTTTATAAGTTAAGTAAAACAAATATACCTAAAAAACAATGAAATTAATGATTTTTATATAAAGGTCTTAATCAGCCAGATGTCTTCATTTCTCCCGTAACATGATGTTGTCCCTACTGTTGTCCAGTGCTGCTTTAGTTTCAGTTTCATTTCGGCGACCAGCAGTAGTGATCTGAGACTATACCAGCTCCCCTCTTGGTTCTCACATCCTCCATTGTCCTTCTGAACCTGTTATTGATGCAGATATGGTTGATTTGGTTTCGTATGGTGTGATCTGGTGAAATTCATGAAGCTTTGTGTGCGTTTAAATGAGAATATGGTATCACCTACGACCAGCTGGTTAAACGCACACAGATTGTCCAGCCTAGGCCCAATATCTATTACTAATTCAATGTACCGTTAGGTTGTATCTTCCCATTTCTGCAACACTTGAAGTGTTCTCTCTATTTCCCACATTAAACATTCCATGTACCTAAATTAATGGTTCGTCTGGTTGTCAGAAGGGGTATTGCACCACCTATATCCGTTATTGGTCTGTTTGTGGTGATTGCAGGTGGCCTTGTGACTGTCGGAGGAACTCGACTTTCATCATGAGACTTCGTAACTCTTCTAAAATAAAACCATCCAACCCCCAGCGCAGATTTTAAATCGTTTAAATTATTTCTTTGCCTAGTGTTTTTAGCAGGTTAGTTTTCTACGGGACGGGGTCGCCAAC